CTTGTATATGAGATGCAAAAACAATTATGGAATGATATAAAATAAACATTGGATAAAGAAATGAACCATTGCAAGAAGATATTGACAGGAAAAGAGTCAATTAAAAGAGCCTTTAGCAAGAAATATCAATAGCATTCCAAAATATCAATAAATATGAAGATGTAGAGCAAATTTATTCAAAACAATTATGTTGGTTTTATTAAATTTAGTTTGATAAATATTTATTTGCCACCATCAAAAAAATCTAGAGCATGTATCTGACAATCCTGGCATGATTGTTGCCAGAGATTAATTGTCATTGTATGAGATATTTGATATGTGATGGTGCATATTTACACATTAGAGCTGCCATTGAAATCCTATAATTAATTTTTTTGTTATTTCAAATCTTTTTATAATAATTGAGTGATTTAATAAATTTTAAAATATAAATGGCAATGATAAAATTTTGATTTGTGTGTGATATTTATTTAATTATAAATAATAATATTACAAATTATTATAAAAATAAATAATTTAAATAATTTGAAAATGCAAATTTTAAAAAAAACTTAATCATGTGCTAAAACTAATGCAACACGACATGGAATATAAACCTAAAAAATAAAATTTTTAATTATAATCATATGTGAGTTATATTCATATGTATATTTATATTTATATTTATATTTATATATACCTTGATAGAATTCTTTCTTCCATTCCAAGATTCGGGTGATGAAAAATAAGCTATGCTCTCATTTATTCTATCATGGCCTCCAAATCTTTTATTATCCGAGTTTAATACAATTGTATATTTACCAGACCATTCTGTACCAACTTTATAATCAGGAAATGAATTTGTAGGATGAAAATTGAAAATCCATAATAAATTTCCTCGTTCAAACACAATAACCTTATCGGTTTCATGTTTTAATGAAACATAAGCCTTCAACAAAGAATAAATCAAAATTAAAGATGTTATTAAATTAATTAATTTACATCATGAATTATTATTATTTTATTATTTTTTATTTTACCTGAGGTGAACTCAACCAACCATATTTTTCTTCCAAATTTTGCATTGCTTTATCAAACTCATTCAAATATTTGTATCTCAAAAGTTTATCATCAACAATATTCCATTGTCTTCTTGCATAATGGTTGAATTATTATTATTTTATTATTTTTTATTTTACCTGAGGTGAACTCAACCAACCATATTTTTCTTCCAAATTTTGCATTGCTTTATCAAACTCATTCAAATATTTGTATCTCAAAAGTTTATCATCAACAATATTCCATTGTCTTCTTGCATAATGGTATGAATTACCATTTCCTTGACGAGGGAAATCTAACCACTCTGGATGTCCAAATTCATTGCCTTCAAAATTAAGATATCCTTCACCTCCAAGTCCATGAGTCAATAACCTAAATTAAATAATATATTATTAATTAATATTAAAATAATTTATTTATTTATTAAAGTAATACCTGATTATCTTGTGTAATGCAATTCCACGATCAATAATTGGAGTGTGGGGAGTCATATCAGACATATGAGTATACATCTCCTTATCCATTAGCCAGAAAGCAATTGTTTTATCACCGACAAGTGCTTGATCATGAGATTCAGCATATGCAATTGTTTTTTCCTTTTTTTTTGTTATTAATATTTCCAAAAGATTTATAATTATTATTTTTATTTTATTTACAAAAAAAAAAAATTAATATATTAAAAAAAATTTTAAAAAATAAACCATATGTCTTCTATTGATTAATGTCCAACTAATATTTCCAATATTCCATTCATCATCTTTTTGTTCCTTCAATAATTTAATCCACATATCTGGAATAGCCATACCTAATCTATAATCAAATCCAACACCACCTTCAGATACTGGACGGCATAAACCAGGCATACCAGATACATCTTTTTGTAAAATTGTAAGAAATGTTATAACAACAATGATGATGGAAAAAATGATAAAGGTATATTAATTATAAAGATTACCTTCTGCTATTGTAATCATATTATTTGGAGAAAGTTGATGCAACATATCATTTGCCTATTAAATAAGCATATTAATATATTAAATTTTTTAAAATTAAAAATATTTCTATTAGACTATAATGAAAATTACCAGCATCAAATATACAATAGCTTCTTCATCCACAGAATCACCAAAGTATTCATGATAACCACCAGAAAATCCAGTTCCAATGCCATGATGTTTGTACATCATACTGGTGACTCCATCAAATCTAAATCCATCAAACTTATATTCCTCCATATAAAACCTAAGATTTGATAGTAAAAACCGAAGTACCTCCCAATGTCCATAATTAAACAAGCGACTATTTATAATAAATAGATAATAAATAATTTATTTTAATAACATTAAAAACAATACATGTGTGTGTGTATATCTTTTTAATTAATATTATTAATCATAATAACCTATCCCAAAGATCATGCCTTCCTTTTTCTCCTTCATGGAAATAGCAATGATCTGAACCATCAAACATATTCAAGCCATCCAAAACATTTTTGCAAGCATGCGAATGAACAACATCCAAATACACAGCCAACCCCATGCCATGAGCAGTATCAATGAGATATTTCAATTCTTCAGGAGTTCCTATTAAATGAAAAAAAGAACAATTACTATATTTATTTTTGTGAAAATATCCAGTGTTCATTAATCTTATTATTATTATAATGTTAATGATATTAAATACCATAACGACTAGAGATAGCATAAAAACTGGTAACTTGATATCCAAAAGATGCATAATATGCATGTTCCATAATAGCCATCAGTTGAATAGAATTATAGCCTAGATCTTTTATACGAGGTAATACATTATCTGCAAACTCTTTATAAGTTCCAATGCGACCTTCAGTTGTTGATATACCAACTTGTATATATATTTATAAAAATATAATAATGTATTAATGTATTAATTTATTGAGGAAATATAAGAAAAACTTTTGTATAAAAAATTAATTTATATACCATGTGCTTCATAAATTCTTAAACCTAATGGCTTTTTAGGTAAATTGTTTTTCCATTCATATTTACTTTGAGGATTCCAAAAGATGCCATCATATGTTGCACTTACAGATAAATCTTGTGTCACGCGTTTAATCCATGCTGGTATTCGATAAATACATTCATCATTTTGTGTAGTCATTGAAATCTTTTTTATTAAATAAATTAATAATGAAGAAATGAAGAAATGAATGAACAAATAATAATAATAATAATAATGAATTTATTGATGGATTTACCTTTATTTTAGTGTTGTGTGGAATTGCTGGAGTACCATCATTATTTGGAGGAATCTCAATTTCCCAAACTCCAAAATCATTTTTTTTCATTGGATGGGCTTTAACATCCCAATTATCTAACAGAAAAATGATCAAATCAAGGATTAATTAATCAATTAATCAATTAATCAATTAACCAATTAACCAATTAACCAATTAACCAATTAATCAATTAATCAATTAATAGACAAAATGCTTGAATGATTGAATAACTACATACTAAATTCACCAACTAGACTTGCAGCTTTTGCACTAGGTGCCCATTCTCTGTAGACAATGGTATTGTTTGGAAGTACATTAAGACCAAATTTTTCATATCCACGTGAAAATTTTTCCAAGCCACCTTCGTTGTTATTTATATTGTCGATCCATTGTTTGTAGTTTGAATACCTATATCAATTTTTAAATATTTTAAAAATTTAATTTTTGGAATAATTTAAAAATTTAATTTTCGGAATAATTTAAAAAGCAATTAGATAATTGTTTACCTTCTGTTTATGGATTGTTCAAAAGGTTTTAACCATGGATCGATTGTAATTATATTATTTTTTGAATCAATATGACTTTCTTGCATGATAGTTTCTGCGGGTGCCATTTCTTTTAATGTGATGGGAAAGAAGATAAATTTTTTATTTCGAAAAAATAAATTCAAAAAAAATCTTTATAAATGACTTTACTCGGATGACAACATCTTATTCACGTGCTATAAATTCATTTGAAATATTTATTTGAAAATCACATTTAATTCAACTTTATTATAAAAAAATAGTTAGAATCATATGACAATAATTGATGTATGTGTGCATATCGAGATCATCCGTACATGCTATGTCAATCCCTGTATTCACAATCAGAAAATTGATGGCAGTTTTTTACCCGATGATTCTTTTGATAAGGCCTAGCAACAGCACAACATAATAACAAATTCCATTTTTGACATTCAATTACAAATATACATATTATTGACAAACAAAAAAAAAATATGGTAAAAGTACAAAAAAAAACAAAAAAATAGATTCTATATATCTAATATAATTAGTTATTTGTAATAAATAAAAAAATAAGAATAAATATGTATATTAATTGCAACAACTCGATCCTGTGTTGGATTTGACATTATTCTTCTCCAATTCAATTCTCTTATTTTGATTATGTTGCTGCTCATGTGTGTGAGTATCTATAAGTCTTTTCTTGATATCTCTATTATATATAATAATATTAGTACATATTTATGTATGAATATAAAGTAAAAATAAAAATCTATAATATATTGATTCAACCAATATTTACCTAGCTAAAGTGAAAAATGCTTCTTCTACATTAATATTAGCTTTAGCACTAGTTTCCAAGAATCTAATTCCAAATTCATCAGCAAGTGCTTGTCCTTGTTCCTTGGCAATTGCTTTTTTTTCAACCCAATCACATTTATTTCCGATGAGAATCTTGTTGACTCCTTCGCTTGCATGTTGTTCTATATTTGAAAACCAATTTCTTATATCTGAAATAATTGTATATAATTGATTGTTATTATTAATGTTATTAATTAAATATAAAAAAATACTTCTCTCATTATCAACACTTACTGTTGAATGAACGTTCGTCGGTAACATCATAAACCAAAAGTATACCCATTGCTCCACGATAATAAGCTTAATATATAAATACATTCATTCATTATTTAGAAAATCTAGTAATGACTTTATTTTGTTCCTTAGTAAATTAGTAAATGTTTAGTTAGTTACCTGTGGTAATGGTGCGGAAACGTTCTTGACCAGCAGTATCCCAAATTTGAAGTTTAATTCGTTTCCCATCTAATTCAATCGTTCTAATCTTAAAATCAATTCCAATGGTAGTTATAAAAGAAGGTGTAAAAGAATCATCTGAAAACCGAAGTAATAAGCAACTTTTTCCAACACCTTATTTTTTGATACAAAGTACAAATGATAAATTAACGACTAAATAAAAAAAATTCATTGAAAAATTTGTTTATTTATATATATAGGAAAAAGCATTTTACCTGAATCCCCAATTAACAGAAGTTTAATAAGATAATCATATGCTGCATTTTTACTTTGAGACATTACCGACATCTTGATTATGTTTTAATTTTTAATTTTTAGTTTTTGATTTTTTTGAATTGTAATCAATTAAATTTAAATTTTTTTAATCTAATCAAAAATAGACATGAAGAAGGGAAATGACCAATTGGTTAATTGATTGGTTAATTGGGTTAATTAGACATTTCCAAAACTGGGGGTTTTCTATAGAAATTTGGCAATTATTATTATAACAATAAGGGAGAATTATTTATTCATAAATTTATTTGTATCTCATGACTTTTTTAACTCGCACATCATCAATATTTCAAAAATAGAGATTGGGGTTTGTGTTTGGATAGAATCGAAATAGGAATAGAGAAATACTAATACTAATACAAATATAGTTCGAATTCGAGGCAATAAGATTTCGAGTTGTTTGAAATTAGTGCAAGTTTCTTGCAACCCATCTACTTTTTGGATTAATAATGTACACGGAAATATTGATCCCTATTATTATTTATTAATTATTTATCATTTTATCAAGATTTTGTTATATTGTATTTGACGTGCGTATTATTTAATTTGTGTTGTTGACCAAGACTACAATATTGACTAAATTGACGAGGAGCAATGCTAGACTTAGTAGACAACATCGTCAAGGTTGTCAATGTAAACTTAGTCGAAGGAGCAGCTCTATAAAAAAAAAGTCCGTTATTTGAATTTAAATTCCATCAATACTCCTGAAAATTTCCACGAATTTGCAACAGTGACAAAGTCCATATTTCCTCTGTAATCTTTCCATGATATGATATATTTCTGGAGAAAGCATAGAATTTCAAGTCACAGATCAGTTTTTTTTACAGGGCAGTCCTCTAATGAAACATTACGTATATAAACAACTCGAATTCTGTGTACTTTAACAATAACTTTTTTTGAATATGAATAATTGACTTGAGAAATAATCAAATCTGTTCGCTATAAATAATACCCTACTCTGATCATAAGAATGAATACTTATTAACGAATTCATTAATATTAACAAAATTCAATTGTCATAATACGCGGGTAAACTCGATAAGTCGGTCTCTTGATAACTCGGCCAAAAGTTTTCAGCCTTTAAAATCCCTTGATAAGTTGGTCAATCTATATAAAATCGTGATAGGCTGTAAGCCGACAAACCCCTCTTCTAAGGTATATACAAATTACTCTTGATACAATCTCACACGATATTTCATTGAGAGAAGTCATCTATTTTTAGTAACATGTGTCATTGGCAAATTATTATTTTTAATAAAATATGCAGCAGTCCAAAAGGCTCCTGAGAACGAAGAAGAGGAAGATGACACAACTCCAATATCTAAAAAAACGTTGACATAAAAGTAGACAGTTCATTTGTTTCAGGTTTAAGAGATTTAAAATGAAGATCAGTAGAAAACATGCATGATATTTATTTAGAATAAATTTTTTGTCTCCACCATATGTGGACAATTTTCGAGTAGGTGTGATCTTTATCCCTGTGTTCAGAGGGATGCATGCTTTAGCCTGGCGAGGGATAAATATAAATGCACAGATATCACCTGGTCCGTAGATCTTAAGTGAATTATCCGACCAATAAAGATTGATAAGATTGATAAGGGGGGATATCCCTCTTATATGAAGCCGAGGCTCTATCCCTACGAACTGAGCGATAAAGATGTAACCTTTCGGAAATTGTCCGCATGGGCTGTTTGTCTCTCTTTTTACACTATAATTGTAATATAAATAATTTAAAGTCACGTGTTCTCAATATCATGCCCAGTCATCTTATCGAGTTTTACCTGTGTAATAAATAATAATTAAAAAATGTATCAAGTGACAAAGAGTTGTACATGATATTTTTTTCGACTCCACCCATATTTAATTATATCAAAACTATTTACGTCACTGTACATGATTGCCATTATTATGCAAAACCGTACATTTCTCTTTTTATATTAAAATAAATAAATAGTTTACTCTTGTGCAGCTGTGGATTTCACATAAAATTCATATGCTTAAATTTTATATTATTGTTTTGAAAAAGATAACATTATAAAAGCAATGAATAAGTATTCTCTGAATTCAAAATAACAAAATAAAATAATTATGATAATTACTGTTATAACTATCTGCATTGTTATACAGTCGCACCTGTCTATTTGCATACCGTATATTTGCATAATCTGTTCATTTGCATAAAGGTAGCTTAGTCCCACATTGGGACTTATGAACTATTTGCATAACGTAAACGTGCATATGCATCAAAAGTGATCCTGATTCTATTAAGTCCCCACAACGTATATATGCATATTTATGCTATAAAAGGAAAAAGATCAACTAGAATTTATTTTTTCAAAAAAATCATTAATAGCACTTTGTTTCATAGAATCAGAATAAATCTTTTTCACAGTATTATTTACACTAGCCAACTTTTTAATTTCATCTGAACAATCTCTAGACTGCTGCAACAAGAATGTCATGACTTTTTCTAAAGCTTCTAATCCTTCCTTAGCAGAAATAACAGGTAACTCATTTCCTTCATCATCTTCATCATTCTGATTTTCATTACCTTCTTCTTGAATTAATTGAATAATTGTCTCCTCTTCTACAGGTTCTTCTATTTCATTTTCTTTAACAGGATTCAAAAATCTTCTGTTCTCATAGGGTTCTGTATCTATAATAGTAACAATAATAAAATAATTAACATTGAAATTAAAATAACAAGACAATATTTTTAATACCTTAAGGCTTTAATATTTTTTTCTATATCAGGAATTATTTCATCTCCTTGCTCTGTCTCTTCATTATTATCAAATTTAATAATACCAGTATGCTTCCAACAATTGGCAATGGTATTTATTGTAACATCATCTCTCCAAGCTGTTTTAATGAATAGTATAGCTTCTAAAACATTAAGTTTGGCAACCTGTTCATTATCCTCAAACTTTTCAAGAAGGTGATTTACAAATTGACGATGGTAATGTTTCTTGAAAGATGCAATAATTCCAGCATCACAAGGTTGAATCTTTGATGTGGAGTTTGGTGGTAAGAACTTAATCTGTGTATTTTTCAATTCTACCCCTTCAATTATATGACAAGGTGCATTGTCAAGTAATAATAACACCTTTCTACCACTCATTCTTTGATCAAATAGTCTTAACCATCTACAATTGAGAATTGATTAAAAATGCTTTATAAAGTAAGTCATATTAAATTATTAATCATAAATTTACTTACTCTTGAAATAAAACTGCTGTCATCCATGCTTTAGTATTTGCTCTATAGGTAATTCCAAGATTATTCATATTAACATTTTTCATACACTGAGGTTTTAAAAATTTTCCAATAATGAGAGGTGGAAGTTTATCAGTTCCATCAGCATTGCAACAGAGCACAACAGTCAAATGTTCCTTGTCCTTTTTTTTTCCCTCAAGTTGTTTTGTTGCTAGAGTTGTGTCAGGTTCAAGTCTATATGTATTTATTAAATTACATTAGCAAATAACAATATTTTAAATATTGTTTATAGTAATATACTTGCCAGAAGAACAGTCCTGTTTCATCCATATTATATACACATTCAGGTCTAAAGGAGCTAATAATTGCTTTTAAATCAGGAAGTGCATTTTCAATTGCATTGGTATCAGCTGATCCACTTTCTCCATGCAATTGATATCTTTTCAAATTGTTTCTACATATGTAATTATTTGTTACAAAAGAAATTAATAATTTAATATCATAAATATGTGCAAAAATATACCTGTTTTTAAAGCTTTGAAGCCACCCAGAAGAAAATGTCAATGCATCATCAGGAATATTAAGCAATTTTGCAAATGATCTAGCTTTTTCAGTTATGATTAAGTCGGTGAGAGGAATATGGTTTTGTGAGTGTAGACACCATTCTTGGAGTGCAAGCTCAAGTTCAGGATATCTAACATTATGGGGTTTTTTCTGTAGTGGATTTTGTAGTAAGTTTGTTTCATTATCCAAATATTCATATGAGTGCTTTAATGTTCTGGAAATAGTTGCTTGATCAACTTTTATACCAAATTCTTGTTCACACCAATTAATTAATTCTTTTTGGGTTATTCTTGGGTCATCTTGCTTTTTTAAACAGATTTGATAACGTTGTTGATTGTTTAATGTGACTTTCTTCATTGTAAATGTAAAGGATAACGAAATATATGATTGTATAAAATTGAGTAAAATTCAAAAATTTATGATTAAGCTATTAAATTAATGAATTGATTAAAACCATGACGCGAATGACACGAAACAATTTTTAAATTCGTGTCACGTGATTGTATGTAACATCAACCACACAATAACGTGAATATGCATATTCTGTCTATTTGCATAAAAACTCATCAGTCCCAACAGTATGCAAATAGACAGGTGCGACTGTATAGTTGATGATGTTGAAAAGGTGATAAATGATCCAGCAGAATGTAATAAGTCTGTAATGGCTTGGATTGGAGCTGGTATGATTTTACATTGTTATTTGAAGGGCATTTCCGAAGTCTTCCAAATATAACAAAATATTATCATTTTCATTTCAGTAGTTTACCAAATGATATTGGAAAAGTAACAAGATATGCAGGTATTATAACGAATTCAGGGTCATGTTGGAGATCAAGGAATCTAATGGGACAAATTATGTCAGTAACGTTTAAAGAACAAGTTTTGGTACGATGGAATGAATTAATAGAAAATGAAAATGGGAAATTACATAGATACAATACAACAACAGGGCCGTCAGGAAATGGAGAAACTTTAGTGCCAGAAGGTTCTATAGCAATAATAGATTAAAAGGAGCATCAAGAAGAGTATTTTAATCAGGAACTTGGGCAGTCTTATTGTTGAGATCAGAGCTATAATTTTTCCTAATAAATTTGCGTAAATTTTTCCGATCAGAAAAAAAATACGCGCAAATTTTTTTTACAAGTGGTGACACGTCAATTTTACAAGTAGTGCTTTTTAACCATGCTCCCAAAATATTTAGTAATTAACGTCACTGTCATAATTCAATATCTTTTGACTAGAGATTTTAACTTTGGACATTAGCAATACAGTTTGGGCTGCATGTATAGTTGTATTTGCAATTTATTTTTATTTATATTGAGAATTTACATAGTGTTAGAGAAAAATACAATGTGTACTGAATCGTTTAGCACACCAAAAAAAAAAAAATCATATTTCCAAAATCCTATTAAGGATAAGCGCACAGTTTCCAAAAATCGCACCCAATCAAGTGACGGAAAATATGTTTAAACGTTTTCCAATCACAATACTCGCTTTCACAACCAGGAATCAGAAGCGGTTTATAATTAAGAACTGCTCGTATTGATGCTTTACCCTCTGGACAAGTATATACCTCTAAATAGAACGTGCTGCCCCAGTGTAGTGCTACAAATTCTGTTTTTTTGACTTTTTTAATTTCTTCAAGGGTGAAATCTGCCGTGAGTGGGCGTTCTTCTTTCAATAATCCCTGTAATCGAAGATAGTATCGTCAAAAAACGGAAGATGAAAAAACGGAAGATGAAAAAACGGAAGACGAAAAAATGAAAGTGAAAATTTTCACGTACCATTGAAGTAAAAATCATAAGCATAGTATAGGAATGGGCAAACTTTAGATTAGCTATCGTAGGAGATGTCCCATTTAAATAACTATCAACTTCATTTACAAGTTGAGTAATGTAGGCACAGCCCACTTGTCTATTCATAGGATTACCATATTGTAATAAATAATATACACGCATATCCCAATAATATCGTATTAATAGAAACTCGTCAGGTTTCAGCAATGTACACCATGTGTCAGTTCGATTATAAACAGCGATATAAAATTGGCAATTAGTAAAAATAAATGGTACCAAACGTGGATCAAGAGGTGGGTTTATACCGTGTGCTTTGGAAATACGCTCAGCAATTGGTGCTAGAGTATTGTTGCCATATATATAACTTTGTTCGTCGAACAAACTGTTATTAGAATAAACAGTGTTAAACCAACGTGTGCAGGAAATCCATGGTACCAATACCCCATCTTGCATCTATATAAGAATTATATAATAATAATGTTAACGGATTTGAACAAATGTTTTATAAATGGCGTAGTAAAAAAAATATACCTCTGGTATAGACGAAGTGTATACAGGCTGACTTTTACAAGTGTCTAAAGAGCCTTTGCCATTGAATAATCCTTCGGAATAAGCCATTGACGATGCACCGGCTCTTTAAATAGTAGTATATATTGTATTTATATATGTGTATTAGAATAGAAGAAGTGGAAATTCCAAAACATGATGGTACTTGTAGGACTTAATGGAGGATGTGACACGAAAAACCATATATATATATAATATGTACCTTGAAGTAGCTGAACTTTGAAATTTTATAACTTCAGGGTCATATTTAACTCCTTTCCAAAATTTTGAATATCTTTTACGAGATTGCAAGCCATCGTAAAACATTTCGAGTTCTCCTCGTTTGACCATTTGAAATACCTTAATCGGTGGGAAAATATTTTTATACTAAAAAAAAAAAAAAAAAAAAGTATTTTTTAGATAATAAATAAATGATAAATTCGCTAAATACGACAAATAATTTTTATTACCCAATTTTTTGCAACAGGAACATTAGCAAATACTTTTTCCAATTTTCCGTAGGCAACATAATCATCTGGATCTGGATATCTCGATCCTAATAATTATTTTAAAAAAGATTATTTTATGCGTCAAAATTTGTACATGTATGTATAATAAAATAATCATTACCGTGTCTACTGATCAAATTTAATTGTTTTAATTCACACTTATCGGGATAAGTTATGGGTTTAATATTAAGAGAAAAGGCGATCCTTGCTTTTTGAAGATGAAATAAGTCTCTGTCTATAAGTTCTTCTGGAGTGTACTTGAACAATTCATGACATAGCGTTGGGTTATAAAAAATAAATAATGCCAAGATAAAAACAGAATAAACAGTGTGATATGAAAAATGCATCTTTTTAGAATTGCAAGTTGCGTTTATTTTCAAAAAAAAAAGATATGCTTTTATATCGTATTTATTATATCGACTTTAACCATGTAAGGATAAATTGTATGGATATATATATATAATTCGATCAATATATAATTTAAAGCAAAAAAATAATTTTATTTTTAGCATTACTAATATGATTGGATGAAGATAATTATAATAAATGCAGGTTCCAGAAAATGAATGCTTTCCTTTTGGCGTGGGATTATTATTCATTCACTCACTCAGCCTTTCAATTAATTACTAACCTGAGCTTTTATTTTACCTCAACTATATTTGATAAAACCTGATATATAATTATCTTTAAATTATTACTATGTGAAATAATTAAAATTTTGGGGTGGGGTGTTTTGATATGAAATTCTGATTGGCTAATTTGAATTGCAAATTCATCTTCACGCACAATAAATATAAAAAAAAATTTTATTTAAATACAAATGTATTTAGTATTAGTTTATAATAAATTTTCAAATTCACACGATTTGATTCTATGAAAAACTTATATATATTCAAACATGAAAGGTTTGTTTATTATTATCTTCTTTTCTCCCCAAATATTGACTCTGATATTGCAATACCTATTTTATTCGCACTACATTTGTTGATACAAACTTTATGACCCAAAAGATGCGAATGGCGTTATTGAAGTTTTCAAGAGTCAGTGAACTCTCGCGCGAAGAATTTGCTATGATAGAATAGAAATGCTGGAATTTGGAAGCAGATTGAAAAGTTGGGATTTTAAAGTCGTCAGGTATGTTTTGCTAATTTGGTTGAAAAGTTTTTATAGTAAGCAGGCTTAAAAAATTCTAGGAATGAAACTTTTCCATCCATTTGTTCATCACTAACATAACTAATTTTTCTTTTATTTATTATGCATTTATCATACTTTGCATATACAACATTTCTCTTTGGGGAAGATGATTGGATTACGTATACCGCTCCTTTTCTTGTTCTTCTTTTGCTTTTGTATGAATTATCCATCATTGTTTAGTATAATCAACTAATTTGTGTCTTTTCTTCTGATTTTGGATCCCTTTAACATGTTAGAAAGACTGCAGAGAATGATAAAATGTTGGGAGTGTTACAAGATGCACAGAATTTACTCATTTGCATACTACTGCACATTTCTATTTAGCATATACTAATTAAAAGGGAACCACATTTTTTTATGAAGATCCGGATTTTTAAATTACTGTTTCCGAGTCTAGAACGGGTCTAATGATATTGGTATAACGGGTTTTTTCCTCCAATAAATTCACAATATCGGTACAATTGAAAACAAATTCAAAAAAAATTTACCGTAAATGTTGAATATAGAAAAGAAATGGAAGATTTGAAAAGATGAAAATGATTGATAGAAAATATAAGTTATATATATAGTTTGTTATTTTTTAATCATGATTGGTATGTACAATAAAAGTTTTAATAAAGTTTATTTATTGTTGTGCTATGAGATCATCAATTACCTTTTCATTCTTATTTATTTTGTGAATGGACTGAATAAAAACATGCTGCATTCACATGTATCTTTCTATGCACCATAATCAAAAAACAAACAAAGAAAATATCAAACTTTATACTAGTACTACTGACTTTCTTTTACGCCAGAGAACTCTGTGTATTGACTATGACTATTTTAATTTTTTCTGAATGTCATGCCGTTAGTTAACATGTTGGAGATTTTACTTTTTTTGCTAGAAAAAAAAAAGAGTAGTATATAATGAAACGTTTAAAAATATAGCTTGAATAGGAAGGAGTACACGTCTAATTTTGTAATATTACGTATGCTCTCAAATTATTATTATTATATGATTTGCAAGGTCACACGAGTTTATCATCAGAAAGTTTTTGTAAAAAAAAAAAAGTATATCTCGTCGTACCACACACTCAAAAGTAACTTTGATTGAATGGGTCTTTTGTATGAAATTTCAATAATGAGATAATGTAACAGTATGTTCCATTGGAAGATTGGAAGCATCAATAATATTTTGTTTGCACTATTAATCACGTGATAAATTAATGACAAAGATGTGTTTCTATCACCACTTTATATGTACTTTAAGAATTGAAGGGTGTTAATTTTCTTTACTAAAATCTACTATAGCTTTATGTAGTTTATTTTTTACGCTATCATCATCATCCTCATTATCTGTTAAATTGATATTTTCGTCCACTTCTTGGCTCAAAAAATTAGCACAACTCTTAAATGGGGCATACTGTAACAAAACCAGACAAAGTGAACATTGGTATTACCAAATATTTCAGGGTCAAAATTTAGTAATGTGATTATTAAAATCTTTCTCTTAATATTAGGTGATATATAGAATTACCTCTATATAAAAATAGTTAATATGAAGTTAATTTACATCAGATCTACTATGGAACCCAAGAATTATAGTACTATCAGAAGTATTTTGAAGAAAGAGCAAGGTGAAAAAATTGCTCCTTACATTTTTAAAATAAATGATACTCAGACACTGGAAACTTATCTAAGAAAAGAAAGGATTGCCTATGAAATTTACCAAGAAGAAAGAAAAATAATAAATGTTGAAAAAAGAAAGCATCATGATGATACATTATTACCTAATAAAAAGAAAAATCTTTAAAAGGAAAATAAATACCATTTTCTTTGATAATTGGAATGAATTTCAATTTATACAGAGAAAAATTTCCTTAATCTTCTTTTAAATTACTTTTTTATTTTCGATCAAGGTCATTTTTTAACTTCAATTTGAGCAACTAATTGACCATTTTGTTGTTATAATTGTGTTAATTGAACTTTTAACTCATTGATTTCTTTTATTAATTCTTGATTAGTTAAGCCTTTAAGTTTTTCATTTCTCTCAATTTCTAGTGCTTCTTCAGTCTCATTTAATTGTTCTTGTAGGGAGTTTATCTGTCTTTTGTAAAAAGCGGACTGACTTATTTCTTCATTAGGTAAGAGGGGAAGTTCTTTCTCTCCCAAGTCTTCATTGTTTCTAATGCAATAACAAGTATTTTTACCACTGACAACATCAAAATCTGGTTTGGTTTGTAATCTACCACACCTATTACACTTTAATAGTCTTCCATCCCAATACTTTTCTTCACACTGTTCACAAACATGTCATCTGAAATTCATTCCCCAGTTATTTTTACTACAGGCTCTTATTTGATGAACAGATTTATTATTTTTATTTTCAAATTTAGAGCAGAAATCACAAGTTTTTTTACTTTCTTTTTCCAATTCTAAAACTGTATATTCCAGTTCTTTCATTGCAATTTACTTGTTATTTAGGCTTAACTTCTACTTGAGCAATCATTTCTTGGTTGTGAAACTTTTCCTTTTTGATTAGCTTTTGTAATTTTTGAACCTTGGTTTTTGCTTTTGTTTTTAATTGCTTAAATATGCTCTGTTTAGTTGAAGATGGCTTGCTCTCTTCTTCTTCTATAGGTAAGGCAGGTAAATATTTATTATCTAAGTAGATCAGATTCTTTAAATTTTCATTTTGTGTTTCACTATCAGTTAATTGCTTGTTTAGTTTTTCTATTTTTTTGCTCTTTTGACTCAATTCTTCCTCTAATTTTTCAACTTGGGCTTCTAGATAAGAAATCTTCTCACTAGCACTTTCAAGTTTCTTGTTTTTTTCTTTTATATTTTCTGCTTGATTTTTACTTCATTTTTCACCAACTATTAAGATGTTTCAATTTCTTCTTGTTCTGTTTGCACCTCATCTTCCAACTCTTCTATTTTTGCTTCTAACTCATTAATTCACTCAATTTTGCTTTTGATAATATCCTTAATAATAATATCTTTAGCAGGTTTATCTCCAAAGTTTTCTCCGACCAATGATAGCATTCTTTTCACTTTGATGCTCCCAGTGCTTTACATTTCAGATTCATAGTAATTGTTAACAATTTCTTCAATGACTTTTTCTTGGTTTTCATTATGTTCTATAATATATTTCCTATACAAACTATCTTGAAAACAAACATTCATAACTGTTGTCTTAATGGTCTGCCAATCAATTCCCTTAAATCTTGTTCAATGTTTTTGCTACAGTGAGGAAATCTCTCCCTCATGTCTACCAATATTTGGTAAATTCTTTCTGTTGCTTCTTGCTTAAATTCAACTTCCTCATCTTCACTTACTTCTCCTAGATTTTTAATTCAGTAATTTCTTGTTCATTATTGGATAATTGCCTTTTCAATGTTTCAATTTTGTTGATTAGTTCTTTATTTGCTTGTTGTTGTTCTTTTAGGATGTTTGTCATGATTTTCTTGTTTGCTCTTTTTTTATTTATTCTTTTAATATACTTATCTTCTTATGGTATGTAAAGTTTATAATTATTTAGTACTTTTTTTACTTTAAATGTGGAAAAAACTAACAATATTTAACAAAAGATTAAACTTATTAAACATAACGACAGTAAAGGACAAATTAACAAGTGATGAAATCATAGAGATGATTTATTCTAAATATTTTATTCATTGCAGTATAGATTGGTCTTGGGCAAGTAATATCTTTGTATTCATCTTTCACAAATGGGCAAATATTATGATAAAGATAT